ATAATATATTAATATCAATTATAATATATGTTTTAAAAGAAATAGAGAATTAAAAAAATATTGATTTTTAGTATTTAGGAAATTTTATTTTTTGCTAATTATAAAAAGGACTCGATATTCGATACGGATATCTATGTTCGAAGAAAAGAGGCATGATAGTTCTGGGACACTGTGTATGCCGATACACACGTGTATTGTTACTGGATAAGAGACATCGCATAAGTCCGTGGCGTCATGTGCTCATAACTGCCCCCTATCAGAATAATATTATTGTCCCGGCCACCCCACGATTATCCTGCTTTCGGGCGCGCAGCGCTTACTTTTCGTGACTTTGTTTCGTACACGTCAGCGAAAGCTGTTGAATCGCGTAAACGGAGTGATAAATGGAAATCCAGATTATTGTCTCCGCGCGGAACGGATCGCGATTTTCTGTCATTTCTGTCGGATTGGGACGAGAATCACTTTCACGAAATAATCCTGAAATCCTTCGTAGCGGATGAGTGTTTGGTATTATACTGTAACAATTACTCATGCTGCTTGTGCAATCCCTTACAATGATAAATTAATTGTAATTCTCCAATTCTTGTTCCTGCTGAAATATATGTATACGTCTGCATTATTATAAATTACAATCAAAAATTTGTAACTTTATATATATTGTACATATGTCTATATATTTCTTTAATTTATCTCTGAAAGAGTGTCCTCAGATATTTAAAAAAAACTCTCGATTAATTATAGTTTTCTTTTGAAAATAATTAATAAATTACTATTTTTTAAACTAGAACTTTTATTCTTTATACAGTTATACATAGATTTTCTATTTAATATAAATTATATAAAAATATAAAATATGATATTCTGTCATCTTTGTAATAATAGGGAGAATTGTCAGTATTAGCTAATTGCTCTCGAGGGAGGATCAGTCTCAATTAATGTTCCCATTGGTCGTACAACTTACCGCTTAAATATCAATTTCAAACAGACGGTATCCTTATTAGCATTAGCTCGGCAAGTACGACAAAGAAGTTTAGGTACGACGCTAGGAAAGTTCAAGGATGCAAATAAGGGTAATATCGTAACGGAAGTACGAACAAGGGAGAGTACGAAGATCGTGGTTTCTCGTCTCGTTTACACTTATTGTTGGAATAATTTCATTTGTATGAAGTTGTAAGTAATTACGCATGAAAAACGTACTCGTTGTTATGGAATTTATTAGAATTGTTTGAAAAACAAATATAATAACATTCCACGTATTACAATTGTTCAAATAGAATTATATATAATTATATATAATATTATAATTAGTAATTTTAATTATATTATATGATAAATTAATAATATATATTTGGCTAATAATATCACAAAATGGTTTCCCTCCTTGCCACGCGCGCGTCATGATTGTAGATTGTTAAAGATTAAATTTTCTATGAACATCGTGATAATGCACAGGCACTCTTTATCATTCAGGTCACTTCATCAAAATTGAGTCCATAATTACTTCACCCCTGCTCGAAATAAATCATTTCTCGCCTCTCCTCTCTTCGCCAACAAAGAGTACCACAATTTAAACCGTTCCTCGTCAGTTTATTGATGCAGGTTACATTGTTTATTTTTTTATATCTTATTAATATCAGATATAGAAATAGAAATAATTTCTTTCTAAGTTTTCATACATTTATATAATTTATTATATACATGAATTAATTTTACCAACAATTTATTATTATATCGCCATGAGGCGATATTATTTTAACATTATTATTAGCTTACTTCAACAATATGAATAGCGATTTCATTTTCTTAAAAAATCCAATATTCCTGATTGAAAGATAAATAGATGAAAATATAAGACTTATATAGGATGGAAGCGTCGAAAGCGCGATTATTCATCACCGAGATTTTTAAAACGAAATCGCCATCGTTGCGGCCGCTCATAGGTCCATCACGTCGGATGAATGAATAATTATCCCGCACCCCCGCGCACGAATCGTTTCTCGGCGTGCTACTCCCTTCGCCGAGGAAGTACCTATATACCGAACCGCCCTCAATTTATATAAGCTAACCGACTCGGCGCCCCCGACTATCCCCGCCATCCTGTGCTCGTATAATAATTCCGCGATTCCCTCCCGATGTTCATTTCATTATTTTTTTTCCTTCTTCGTCGCGGCCGCCTTCGTCTCTCCTTCCTCTCCTTCGTCAGCCACTTCCACGACCGCTTCTCCGCAATCCGCCACCACCGTCGCCGCCGTCGCCGCCGTCGCCGCCGTCGCCGCCGTCGCCGCTACCGTCGCCGCCGCCGCTGCCGCCGCCGCTGAGAGGGTGATAAGTCGTGACGTCGACGAGGTAGAGGTGATTCCGAAGCGTAGGCGTGGTCGCAGCATCCCACCCCCGCCGACCACCGGGGGGCCAGCCGGCGGGGGTGGGAGGGCTCGGATTCCGTGGGGGTGGGATGGCGCGCAGTGCACGCTTCGCGTTGGCTGCCTCCAACCCTCCACCACCACGTGGTCGAAGCCGGCGGCGGGCGCGGTGGTGGACGTGTGCACCCGCTATAGAGCGTGGAAAATCGTGTAAGAAAAACCCGCGGCACCCTGCGCCAACCTCATCAGCCCTATTTCTCCCTTTCTCTCTTTCTCTCTCTTTCCATCACCTTCTTCCCTTCATCATCCTTGTTCTCATTCGACCCATGCCGGTAATAGACGGCGGCTCTACTTAAGTGCGAGGCACGCCGCCTCCATCCTCCTCTCCTTCCTCTCCTTCGATCCTTGTCCTACCCCTTTCGTTCCCTCCTCTCCCTCTCGTTCTCCTTCGTCCTTCTTCGTCCTTTATTCCCGCGCGTTTATAAAGGGACGCATGTATGTATGGCCGCGTGTACACCGCTTTTATGTGGAATTCTTGGAGCGAGCATCGAGAGAGAGGAGACTTATCACCCGCTGTCAGAGGAACGCGCGCGGCCCGTGATGTGTGCGTGCGAGCGTGCGCTCGCGCGCATGCACACGCACGTCCGTATGGTCCGCGTGACACACCAGCGTCGCGCGCTCGTTAATTTAATTAACCCTACAGACACTTCCGGCACGAACGTGGACAGCCAGCGTGCTCTGTCGTACTTTCCACGATAATGCGCGCGAGGCTGCCCCTCCCCCGCGCGACATCGTCGTCACTTTCGTTGATCCGAGCGACAGGAGGAGGGAGGGGACGGCGAAATTACGCGCGCGGGATGACGGTAACGGGATAACGTAGTGTCCCGTCATGTGACACTGCTTCATGCGACACTATATAATCGTTCGAAATATTGCAGACACTTATGGATGCAACTACTAGTGACTTCACATATTGTATCACATATTGCATTTTATCTTTAAATTCTTAGGCTTAAGATTGTAATTATAGTTTGCTTGTAAAAGAAGAGAAACTGATATGTAGCACGTATACGCATACATATACTTACATATCTATATAGTAAATTTTTTATTACATATTTATTACATATATTACATTTTTATTACATATTTATAATAATGGATTGAAAGTCTAAACTCATCTTTTTTCTGTTTCTTTTTCTAATATTATGATATGTTTCGGAATCAGGATAAAATAATTATAAAATTATATATTTAATTAAATATTTTTTATTTTATATTCACATATGTAAGATAAATAAGATGTGTATATTTAATAATTAAAAATCTTTGTCGTGTATATTTTATTATTAGATCCATCACTGGTATACATAATTTTTTTATAGTAATAAAAGATAAAGTTTTGTGATTTTAGTGAGTCAAATATTTGTAAAAGAAATTGCTATCATAAAAATTACGATTATTACTTCAATTTCGGTATGCTGGTAATTATAATAAGCCCGCAACTTCATAATATCGATATCGTCATTATCGCATGATTATTACGTGATCCGGTGAAATCGTGGACGATCGCCAAGCTTCTCCCGTTCCTATCGCCGGTTATTATTATTATCATCATTATTGTTATCATTATTACTATACCTGTGGGTTAAGGAAGCAAAGGAGAGCTGCGAAGTTCTCTCTCATCGACGATAATATAATTACCTACACCGACAAGAAAATTACATCGTACCCCCTCGCGCTGCCCCACAAGTCTATGCAACACGGACACGATAATACGCGAGCGAGCACTCGCCGGTAGTAGTGCGAGATAATAAAGTTGATAAGAGTGTAGAGGGTCGCTCCGCAATCCCTACCCACCGAAAGAGAGCAAACGGGATAGCGTCGGAGGAAGGGGTGGGTAAAGGCGAGCGGCGGTACGCGAGAAACGGGGTGAGAGCGAGAGAACAGCTAGCGGTTCCGGCGGGGATGCGGCGGGGTAAATGGGCGTGGCCGGCATTCGCTGGCGAGGCAGGCGATTGGACGATCCGCGGGGCGGCTTCGTCAAATAAAATCCAATCGTTGAGACCAAAGGAATGCGAATCTCCAGGCTTTTTTCCTACCCTTGGTACTACGAGGCGGCGAGCCGCTTATCCTCCTCTTTCTACCGCTTCCTCTTCCTCCTCCTCTTCCCGCGATCCCCGCTGGGGTAGTTTTCGTGCGCCTTCCGTCCGTCCCTCCCGCCTCTTTCTGCCTTTCTCTTTTCCTTCGCTCCTCAAGGGGGTGCGCGCAGCGCCGTTTGATGGGAGTATGATTTTATTACGGCATTACCGAGCGAGCCAAACCCCGAATTGCTCGGCTTATAGTCCGTATTATCTCACCTAAGAGGGAAAGAAGGGGTAGCAGAGAGAGAGAGAGAGAGAGAGAGAGAAAGACGGCGAGAGGAGCGGGCATCGGGGTGGTCGGAAGAGGGGAAAGGGACACGGAGTACCCACCCCTCGGCGCGCGTACACTTCTTCGGGTAAGGCCACTGCCTGCACGTACGTACGGGGTGGTGTTTCGAGAACGCCGGCGACGCCATCGGGGAGGGGATTGGGGGGAGAAACGAGTGAGCCACCTATATGCCTTTGTGGGCCTTCATTCGAGGGTTGCATGCTCTCACGTTGCCGCCGCCACCACTAACCCCCCTTCCGTGCGTTTGGAAGGCACGCACGCAGGCACGCCAGTTGACATCCCGCTGCCGAAATCGCACGTCCTTGTCGTCGAGTAGAGTTGCGTGCGCGATCATGTGACACGCACGATTCCGCACGGTGGGATCTTCCGCGACGAGGGGACCAGTCTTTTTTCTTCCAGTCGAGAGTACACGTTATTAAAAATAGGTGCGAATTTAACATTTTTGAGATACTCGGAACTATTCGGATTATTCGAATTGGAACATCAGTGTAATCATGCGACGTCAACGCTGGCGATCGACAGTGACAGTATTAAAATAGTTACCGCGATTATTCAACAACGTGTTGCTACGAATCTCTCTAATGATGAGTTCGAAATGATCGAAGGAAAAATGCCGAAGTGTGATTAGTGATTTGAAATAATTTGTGGAAGTCGAGTAATTAGATGGGAAACTGCACGATGATCTTCGATGATCTTGATTCATTTACAGAGATGTGATTTCCAAACGAGTTCCACTCGCGAATCTTGAACGAGATGAACGTGGCAACTGCCACTTGTCAATCAGTAAGTACTCAATATAGTGATCTAATATTAACTGAAGTTTATGACGAGAGACTTACTAAATAAAATAATTGCGCTTCGCTTATCAATATCAAATTTAAAACTAGTCCGAAAAACACTTAGTTCTTTCGTCGGCTAAGAATTCTGTTAAGCGACGATCGTAACAATCGGTGGGCCAAGCAGCCGTGATATGTTCCCCTCGTCAGCGGCGATGCTGAAGAATCTGCAGCAAAGTGCCATGACCTCACCCTTCCTGATGGAGAACCTGCTCCAGAGCAAGGCGTCGCCGGGGACGGATCTCACCAGTCTGACCTTGAACTGGGCAGCGAGTCTGGTGGCGCGACAGCGCGAGCGAGAATGCGAGGCGAGTCTCAGACTCGTCCGGGATCGGTCCTCCCCCAACGATCTCGTTCAGGATCACCTGGAGCAGCGATCCAACACGATCGGCGGACGCGATCGCATAATGATCGATTGCGGCGGCAGGGATCAACAGAGATCCGGTGGCGGCGGTAGATCCAGCGAGCGGCAGCACGACCGGTTGCAGCTCCTTCAGCGCGAGAAGGACGTCTTGGATCGAAGCCAAGGCGTATACGTGGATATGGAGAACGAGAGGATGGACGGTCCGGTGATGGTGGATCGGCTGTGCGCGATGGAGAGGCTCTGCAACGAGAGGATCGACAATCGATCCAATTCCGGAGTCGAGTCCTGCAACTCGAACGTGGACGAGGACCCGATCGCGAGCGCGGAATTGGACGGCGGTCTTCAGCCGGCCGACAGGGACGAGATGGTGCTGGGCGAGCGTGTCTCCGCGATCGAGATAGACAGACGGTACGACCTTGGATGCAGAAACGTCATGCACACGTCCGATGAGATGACGATCGCGTCGGGGGAAAGGGAGACGGCGATGACGGCGGCGGCGACGGCGGTCGAGCGTGCCGTCGACAGAATAGGCGAGAGGACCACCGCCTGTTCCTGCGGCGACGAGCAGTGCTCCGGACCGGCGTGCAGGACCATCCAAGAGAAGGAGAAGCCGCAGCTCAAGTTCAGCGTTAGCGCCATACTCGGCGGCAATCATGACAGGAGGCCGCATCCCGGTAATTCATTGATCATTTACCTGACGTATTCGATAGCTGTTCTGGGATTCTTAGTTCCTGGAAGGATTGATAAGGAAGGATTTAGATGTTTTAAATCAGTGCTCGAAATTCGAGCGATATTTTCACAACTTGAAACGACGATAAGGAAAAGACGATAAAGGATGCAAGAAATTTTTTAAATAATAACAAAGAGGTATCGCGCGTGCGTGAATCATCGGCGAACGTTAAAATGATTTATTCGCAAATGACAAATGTGATATTGATCATCTATCGTAAGCGCAATGTTTGGAATTTTTTAAATTTCTATGTTCATATGAAAGAATGGGAAAACGAAAAAGAATAGTAAAAGATATTTTGGAAAATAAAGAAAAATTGATTATGAAGACAAGAAATAACTCATTGATAAACATTCATTTGACATTATCGAAGTAATAATTTGTTCTTTTTGTTGAAGAATTATTCACGATTTCGAAGCTTCAAAGTAAAGTTCGAAATTAATGAAATTTTTAGATTGGAATAAAACGGGAAAATAAAAAAATGAGAAAGATTTAAAGAAATAAAATACATCGTGAAATAATACATGTATCGAAATAATTCACTGATAATAATGATTCAATTGTGAATCAGTGGATCAAAGACCACAAAATTTTTATAGTTTATGGAAGAAATGCAAAATAAAAAAAAATACCAAGCATTATTAGCGAATAAGAATAAATTGATTACGAAATTGCAAAAAAGTTTTGTGATAATTCATTAATAAATATTGACAATCGTTTTGATATCACTTGACACATTGGTCGAATTTTCTGCAGAATTCGTCTCATGAATTTCAATATTAATTAATCGAAAGCTGATTTTTAGAATGCCTGCTAAAATTGTTGCAAATAGAAGGAATATAAATATATGAGGAAATAGCAAGAGACCTCAGGAGACTTTGTATTTAAATGTATTTATTTTTTTTATCGTCTTTAAAACAACAAATCCAGCGAGATGCCGATCATATGGAATTTGTTAACCTGATAGCAGATATATAAATCTTAGGATTGATGATTCGCCTGCCAATTGCGATCGCGGATTCGTTCGCTCTTGTCGTTAGGAAAGACATCGTCGGGAAGAATTTCGCGCCGTGATCGGAGAGAGTGTTGAAACAAAGCTCACCACAAATCAGTGTCGCGAGCAGACTTCTGTCGCCGGTCCCTAAATCTCATCCGCACACCCTCAAGACGAGTCGCGCAGCGTGCGTGCGGGGTGGAGCGCACAGGGCGTCAGCTGGCCCGCCACTTACCTTCACCCCAATATTAAGCCCTTACGATTGGTGCCTATAATATTAGACAAGCGGCAGAATTCAATGATGTATTGCCACGTCGCTTGTCGCGCCTTTTCTCCGTTCGGGCCGTGATTCGGCTCGAATATTTAGTCGTTGCGAATTAATGTGCGAGAGACGATAAGTAAGGTGCCCAATAATGTAATTGTTTTACGTATTTAATAGTAATAACAGACGGACATTTAACGTTTCTAATAAAAAAAAGGTATCGATATAATGAAATATTCTATCTATTCCGTGTTTCATAAATTAAAGGGCATCTCATTTAAATATATCACTATAAATTATTCGAATTAATCGTGACAATTGTGGCAGTGATACGAATATAATGTTGTGAAAAGGAAATTATTTTTG